ATCACTGCCCGACCTCACTAATGCTCTTGTGGCTGAATGGAAGCAAGTCCCTGCAGCAATGTTCCAACATCTAGTGGAAAGTCTTCCCAGAAGAGTGGAGGCTGTTATAGCAGCAAAGGGGGGACCAACTCCATATTAATTACCATGATTTTGGAATGAGATGTTCGACAAGCAAGTGTCCACATACATTTGGTAATGTGGTGTATTTCATGCAGCTATTCGCAAGTCCATATTTAGTATTTTTGCATTGAGGCATAACATTTTTATATTATTGGTCCACAGGACCCGTCATAATTTTTCTCGAAATGGGAAGAAGCTTAGGCGGGAAGTCCTGAGGTACTGATCACCGGTATTCAACCCTTCAGGGAGGATAATTTCGTACTGATTCTGGACAAAAAGTTCAGACAGTGTATATTTTAGGATCAATGTATTCAGATCATTATTGTTTATAGAGGCTGATGTGAAAATATGCACTCCGAGCTAGGGTTAGGCGATGTCAACCTTTGTCCTATCGTGGTTATGTACCCATAAAACATTGTGATGTACGATGCTATCGCCTCTATATAGGCCTACACCCAATATAGGCCTACACCATGGGCTGGATAGAAGAAGTCTACAGTCTTCAGAACTGGATAATAATTGCTTTATTTGTGTCATAAAATAATAGAACAAACAATATTATTATACTTTTTTTGTACATCTCTCATAAAGCTTTGATTGAGAATCAAGAATAGCTTATGCTATAGACTTTCATCCTTGCTATCATAGGCTAGAATACTTGGGAAATAAGCTACTGTTCTTAACTTTAACTTGTCTTAAAGCTTTTATGATAGGCCTAGTAGGAGGATAGGTTATTGGCCATTTGGTTTTCAATCGCGCATAGAGGGATTTTTCCAGCCACATGGATCAGATTCAGATCAACTTTATTATCCCACCAGGGGGAAATTCATTTGGTAGTGTGCTTAAAAAGACAGTACATAAACACAAAAACTACACAATATAATTAATTGAAAATGCTATAGCTACACATTTAATGTGGAAGTGCAATATGCTATATACTGGACCAACAGACCATCCATAATGGCTGTTGGAATAAAAGAGTCCCTGTATCTATCTGTTTTGATTTTCTTTTGAAGAAGTCTCTTTCCCCTTGTCCGGCTGCCACTGTGACTGAGTTTTGAGTAAAGGGGATGAGTACTGTCCTGTAAAATGCTTTCAAGTTTTAGGAGGATGAGTTTTGTGTACAGGTTGGTGGCTGATTCTTGAACTATACCAATTATCCTTCCCGCCATCTTGATCAAGCACTGAAGCTTGACTTGGTCTTGCGTTTGCATGTATCCAAACATGCATATCAGACCAAAGGACCGCACACTCTGCAGGACAGATTTATAGAACATTTATAAGGTATGGCGATCAACATTAAAAATTGTTGTTTGTGTAAAAAAAACATTCTCTGTTGCAATTTCTTTGCGAAGGCACAGTCAATTGAATTTCAGTTTGTCTATTTTGATTCCCAGGTATTCACTCTATTGACTGATTCCACATTGATCTTCGTAGGAAGTAGTGGAGTTTTGTGCCTTCTGAAATCAATTTCTGTCTCTTTTGTTTTCTTAACGTTTATTTCAAGAAGGTTATCTGTACACCACTGGACTAATTTAGCGGTTTCTCTGTCAAAACCTTGAAGAGAGGCTAGGTCTGGGTGGAGGAAACCCACAACAGTGATGTCATCTGCATATTTAAAGAATTTGTGGTCAGAGGCTTGACAATTGTTTGTGTACAGTATCGGTGAAAGTATGCAACCTTGAGGGGCTCCCGCATGAACCGTTCTAGATGTAGAGATGGCGGAGTTAAACTTGTTGAGTACAGTTCATAAGGAAACTATTAATCCAATTGATCAGTAGAGTTGACAACCAAATTCACCAGCTTATCCACCAATAGGTGGGGTTGGATGGTGTTAAACACGCTACTGAAGTCAATTAGTGCCCTCAAAGCTCATCACTAAGCTAAGGATCCTGGGACTAAACACCTCCCTCTGCAACTGGATCCTGGACTTCCTGACGGGCCGCCCCCAGGTGGTAAGGGTAGGTAACAACACATCTGCCACACTGATCCTCAACACGGGGGCCCCTCAGGGGTGCGTGCTCAGTCCCCTCCTGTACTGCATGGCCAGGCACGACTCCAACACCATCATTAAGTTTGCCGATGACACAACAGTGGTAGGCCTGATCACTGACAACGATGAGACAGCCTATAGGGAGGAGGTCAGAGACCTGGCCGTGTGGTGCCAGGATAACAACCTCTCCCTCAACGTGACCAAGACAAAGGAGATGATTGTGGACTACAGGAAAAAAATGAGGACTGATCACGCCCCCATTCTCATCGACGGGGCTGTAGTGGAACAGGTTGAGAGCTTCAAGTTCCTTGGTGTCCACATCACCAACGAACTATCATGGTCCAAACACACCAAGACAGTCGTGAAGAGGGCACGACAAAGCCTATTCCCCCTCAGGAGACTGAAAAGATTTGGCATGGGTCCTCAGATCCTCAAAGAATTCTACAGCTGCACCATCGAGAGCATCCTGACTGGTTGCATCACCGCCTGGTATGGCAACTGCTTGGCCTCCGACCGCAAGGCACTAAGTGCGTACGGCCCAGTACATCACTGGGGCCAAGCTTCTTGCCATCCAGGACCTCTATACCAGGCGGTGTCAGAGGAAGGCCCTCAAAATTGTCAAAGACTCCAGCCACCCTAGTCATAGACTGTTCTCTCTGCTACCGCACGGCAAGCGGTACCGGAGTGCCAAGTCTAGGTCCAAAAGACTTCTCAACAGCTTCTACCCCCAAGCCATAAGACTCCTGAACAGCTAATCATGGCTACCCGGACTATTTGCACTGCCCCCCCACCCCATCCTTTTTACGCTGCTGCTACTCTGTTAATTATTTATGCATAGTCACTTTAACTCTACCCACATGTACATATTACTTCAACTACCTCAACTAGCCGGTGCCCCCGCACATTGACTCTGCACTGGTACCCCCCTGTATATATAGCCTCCCTACTGTTATTTTATTTTACTTCTGCTCTTTTTTTCTCAACACTTTTTTGTTGTTTTATTTTACTTTTTTATTTAAAATAAATGCACTGTTGGTTAAGGGCTGTAAGTAAGCATTTCACTGTAATGTCTGCACCTGTTGTATTCGGCGCATGTGGCCAATAAAATTTGATTTGATTTGAATTAATACAATTTTCACTAGGCTATTTGCCTTTTCTAAATGTTCATAGATATTGTTCAGCGTGACCAGTAACGCATCATCAACACCCCTGGAGGCACGGTAGTCGAATTGGTTAGGATCTAATTGGGATGAGAGACCAGAGAGAATTTGCTTTTGAATGTTTTTTTCACAACATTTCATAGGTACAGATGTTAGGGCTACAGGGCGTAAATCGTTATTTTCTTTTGGCCTATTGTTTTTAGGTACTGGGACAATCAGCGACTTCTTCCATAAGTCTGGAATTATCCCACTGTCCAGTGACAGCTGGAAAAGCTTCTGGAACGGTAATGCGAGCTGGTCTACGCATGTCTGAAGTGCCTTGCTGCTGACGCCGTCTGGACCATATGATTTTCGTGGGTTGACACGTTGAAAGTATTGCTTGATGTCATTCACAGAGATCTGTATATCAACAGCTGGTATGCTGTCTATACTGTCCAAGGCTACTTTCTGCTGTGATGTAAAATCACATGTCAAACCTACAATAGAAACTGTTCAAATAATTTGCAAAAGCAATGTCATTTTCGACGTTCATACAATGTCTCTTTGGTTTGTAGCCTGTAATGGTTTGTAGCCCTTGCCAGCCTTTCCTACTGTCCTTGTCCTTGAAAAGGTTTTCTAATTTGTCTTTGTATGCTGCCTTGCACTCCTTGATTTTGCTTTTCTTTCTTGAAGCTGCAATATATAACTTTTTGGAGGACCTGACCAAATTCACATAGAAATGTGTGTTATAGATCTGTCAATCGCATTGAAAGCAAGTCTAAGAAGTGGTCGATCTGTTCTATGTTCGCTATTTCTATGCTTCTCATTCTTAAGTTTCATTTTTGCCTTTTTTTACTTTCAGTTTTGTACACCAGCTTCAAACAGCTGAAAATACAATGCTTTTCGTTATGGAAAAGATATTTCACTGTGGTTTAGATGGCGCAATGATTCTCTACACTGTATTTGCTTGTTTTGTCACATAAACTGAAATTAGGCAAACTATTCGAATTTTAGCAACCAGGAAACAGCTAGACACAAGACACTATAGACACACTATAGCTTTATGCCCATGCATCTGACAGAGAGAGAGAGAAACAATATTTTCTGACTGGGCATTTTGCGCTGCTTTGGTGAATTCTCCGCTCTGTCTGGCCTACATCCCTCTCTTGCTATATATCAAATTTATAGGAATCGGCATAATACTCGGAATGTCACTTGTGTGCTGCCCTGCTATGCGCTGCGACACTAAATGTTTACTGCGCGCCGCCAGTGAAGTTCAAAATATGTGAAACCATCGTCTGTCTCATCGCTATGTCATCATCATCGACAATGTTATCGTAATATCGCCCAACCCTACTCGGCGCACATCTCTCACTAAATACCCAGTCATTCTATTTTATCTATTTTTATTTTTTTTTTGTTGATGGAGAAGGAAAGTGGTGTCTATTTGTCAAGTCATACATCTCTCTCTCTCTCTCTCTCTCTCTCTGTCTCTCATTTCTGTCCTCTCTCTCTCTCTCTCTCTCTCTCTCTCTCTGTGTCTCTCGCTGTGTCTCTCTCTGTGTCTCTCTCTGTCTCTGTCTGTCTCTCTATCTCCTTTCTCTGTCTCTCTCTCTCCCTGTCATCATGAAGGATGCTTTTGATCTGGAATCTAAATGCATAGTATGGGTACCTATGGGTTTATTCACTATCTGTATTTAGCTGTGAACTCTAGCACCCAATTCTCTCTCTGTCTTGTCTCTTTCAGGATCAGACAGGCCAAGGTGCAGATCCTCCCAGAGCGGATCCTCCCGGACCCCCTGACTGCAGTGCAGCTCACGCCACTGTCCCGCCTCCACATGCACCCCTCCTCCAGACCCCCCGCCCAGAGCTGCAGACAGACCCAGCGCTGGTGGGCCACCTACCGCCAGGTCTGACTCACACAGACAGACCCACCCACCCACTCTCACTAAGTCACACCTATCACCACTTACATACAGCTATTCTCACTCACACATACACAGAGTGTACAAAACATTAGGAAGACCTTCCTAAAATTAAGTTGCACCCCTTTTTGCCCTCAGAACAGCCTCGATGCGTCGGGCATGGACTACAATGTGTCAAAAGTGTTCCACAGGGATGCTGGCCCATGTTGACTCCAATGCTTCCCACAGTTGTGTCAATTTGGCTGGATGTCCTTTGGGTGGTGGTCCATTGTTGATACACACGGGAAACTGTTGTGTGAAAAACCCAGCATTGTTGCAGTTCTTGACACACTCAAACCGGTGCGCCTGTCACCTACTACCATTCCCCGTTCAAATGCACTTAAATATTTTGACTTGCCCATTCACCATCTGAATGGCACACACACAATCCATGTCTCAATTGTCTCACGGCTTAAAAATCCTTCTTTAACCTGTCTCCTCCCCTTCATCTACACTGATTGAAGTGGATTTAACAGGTGACATCAATAAGGGATCATAGCTTTCACCTGGATTCACCTGGTCAGTCTGTCATGGAGAGAGTTCCTAATGTTTTGTACACTCAGTGTATGTACCACTATTCACATGATATACTGCACATACTCTACTACCCTCATAATCTAGCTTTAAACGAGACATCACATATCTTAAAACAGGGGTTCTCAACCTTTTTGGGTCAGGGGACCCCTTTTGTGATAGCAAATTCATCAGGGACTCCCTCATAATCAGAACACAACTCGAGTGAGATAAAAAATAACATACAATATGTTTTACTATGACTTTGGCAGTGCATGGCCGGACAAACCAAGTCTCTGGCCCGGGAAGGAACATTTTGTCATGGGGCAGATAGATGTTTTGTTGTTGCGGCTTTAAAACTAATATCCTGCAATTCTATTTTTTTTTGCCATGAATCAGATTGAAAACTTTGCCATTTTAAAGCTTAAATTAAAGTGCATTTATGTACAAAAATGTTTTTGGGGTGTGAGTTGAAAAATGTATATTTGGTGGAGTACTGTGGAGACCAATATCCCTGAGAGCCTCCCAGGCCCATGTTGCCCAGGGTTAAGAACATACACTGTAGATTAATAATATTACATCATATTGTATTACACACTTTAAACTTATTCCACAGATCCTTAGGCCAAAGTCATTTAATCTGTTAGTAATACAGTTGAAGGCGGAGGTTTACATACACTTAGGTTGGAGTAATTAAAACTTGTTTTTCAACCACTCCACAAATGTCTTGTTAACAAACTATAGTTTTGGCAAGTCGGTTAGGACATCTACTTTGTGCATGACACAAGTAATTTTTCCAACAATTGTTTACAGACATATTATTTCACTTATAATTCACTGTATCACATTTCCAGTGGGTCAGAAGTTTACATACACTTAGTTGACTGTGCCTTTAAACAGTTTGGAAAATTCCAGAAAATGATGTCATGGCTTTAGAACAGGGGTGTCAAACTCATTTTAGCTCAGGGGCCACATGGAGGAAAATCTATTCCCAAGTGGGCCGGTCCGGTAAAATCATGGTATATATAACTTAAAAACAACAACTTCAGATTGTTTTCTTTGTTTTAATACTATCAACATAAAACATAAAGCTGGAGCCTGAGGACAGTGTGTCCAAAATAGTACAAGCACAACATCACTATTTATCATAAAACACCTGTAGTTTATTTGAAAATTCTAAAGAAAAAGAACACACAAACACACAATGCCTCAGTGATTCACATAACTGTTTCACAGATCACATAACTATATCCGGGTGTCATTTCTCAGGTAGAAATGTAGATACAAATAATGAAATCCTGTTCCCCAAACAAGTGCAAGAACCACAGAGTCAAGAATAGGTTAAATATACAAATAAAATAAAATCAATTAAAAACAATAGCACATAAAAACATATAAACATAAAGCTGGAGCCTGAGGACAGTGTGTCCAAAAGCACAACATCACTATTAATCATAAAACACCTCAAGTTATTTGAAATTATGAGGACAAACAACACACAAACACACAATGCCTCAGTGATTCACAGAAGTATATCACAGATCACAGAACTATATCAGGGTGTCTCATGCAGCACTTTAAGTGGGGTTGCATAGTTTATTTGACTCCTGATACCTGGCATCTTTTAGCTTTCACCAGCGCATCAATATCAGGCGTCACATCCTGAGTGGCAGCCAACTTCAGGATGTGATTCAAGTGCTTGTGCGTGAGCCTTGAGCGCAGCTTTGTTTTATCCATGACGTTATCCATCTTTAATGACTTGCAACACAAAGCCTCCTGGTGCAAAATACAGTGAAAAGTCCAAAAATCACGTCCTCCATTTGCAGATTGCACTTTCTCTCTGAACTTTGTCACAACGCCTGCTTTTTTTCCCGATAATTGAGGGCGCACCATCTGTAGCCAGGCTGACAGCGCGGGACCAGTCCACTCCGACCCTGTCCAGCGCGCCGACGAGTGCAGTGAAAATATCAGCTGCTGTCGTTGTATCTGTCATCGGCACCAACTCCACGAACTCCTCGGTGACGGTCAATGTGTCATCAACTCCGCGGATGAAAATGGCCAGTTGTGCAACATCTGTAATGTCCGTGCTTTCATCAATTGCAACCGAAAACGCAATAAATGACTTTACTTTTTGCTTCAACTGGCTGTCCAAATCCACTGAAAGATCGGAAATCCTGTCTGCAACTGTGTTTCTTGTCAGGCTGATATTTGCAAAAGCCTGGTGCTTTTCAGGGCACACAATCTCTGCTGCCTTCATCATGCATGTTTTTACAAATTCACCCTCACTAAATGGTTTTGAAGCCACTGCGATTTCATTAGCAATGAGGTAGCTAGCTTTCACTGCAGCGTCACTGATGTCTCGGCTGTGAGTAAACACAGACTGCTGTTTCTTCAGACCCACCAACAGTTCATTCACCTTCTCTCTTCTCCGCTGTCCTTGAAAGTTGTCATATTTGTCGGCATGAAGACTCACATAGTGGCGACGAAGGTTATATTCTTTCAGCACTGCAACATGCTGTGAACACACCAAACCTACAGCTTTCCCATTCAATTCCGTGAATAAATAGAAGGATGACAATTTTTCTTGGAACACTCTGCACTCTGCGTCCACTTTTCTCTTTTTTGACAGAGACATATTGGGGCAATGAGGGTGCCAAAGCACATAATGTTAAAAGTAGAAGCCGTAATAAATATCGCGGGCAAAACAAAGTAGCTCATCCGGACTGGCTGCACTTGCTTGACCTATTTGCTCTGCCCCGGTATAAACAGTTTGCTTGCTTAACACAATTGCTATTGCGCCATCCAGTGGACACAATTGGAACAGCAGTTTATTTTATTGAAAAATTGCAGCTCATTTTTATACTTTACAAAATCATCTCGCGGGCCGGATTAAACCCGTTTGCGGGCCTGATCCGGCCCGCGGGCCGGACGTTTGACACCCCTGCTTTAGAAGCTTCTGATAGGCTAATTGACATAATTTGAGTCAATTGGAGGTGTACCTGTGGATGTATTTCAAGGCCTACCGCCAAACTCAGTGCCTCTTTGCTTGACATCATGGGAAAATCACAAGAAATCAGCCAAGACCTCAGAAATGTTTTTGTTGACCTTCACAAGTCTGGTTCATCCTTGGGAGCAATTTCCAAACGCCTGAAGGTACCACGTTTATCTGTAAAAACAATAGTACGTAAGTATAAACACCATGGGACCACGCAGCCGTCATACCGCTCAGGAAGGAGACGCGTTCTGTCTCCTAGAGATGAACGTACTTTGGTGCAAAAAGTGCAAATCAATCCCAGAACAACAGCAAATGACCTTGTGAAGATGGTGGAGGAAACAGGTACAAAAGTATCATTATCCACAGTAAAACGAGTCCTATATCGACATAACCTGAAAGGCCGCTCAGCAAGGAAGAAGCCACTGCTCCAAAACCGCTTTTAAAAAAGCCAGACTACAGTGAGCAACTGCACATGGAGACAAAGATCATACTTTTTGGAGAAATGTCGTCTGGTCTGATGAAACAAAAATAGAACTGTTTGCCATAATGACCATCGTTATGTTTGGAGGAAAAAGGCGGCCTTGCAAGCCGAAGATCACCATCCCAACCGTGAAGCACGGGGGTGGCAGCATCATGCTGTGGGGGTGCTTTGCTGCAGGAGGGACTGGTGCACTTCACAAAATAGATGGCATCATGAGGATGGAAAATTATGTGGATATATTGAAGCAACATCTCAAGACATCAGTCAGGAAGTTAAAGCTTGGTCGCAAATGGGTCTTCCAAATGGACAATGACCCCAAGCATACTTCCAAAGTTGTGGCAGAATGGCTTAAGGACAACAAAGTCAAGGTATTGGGGTGGCCATCACAAAGCCCTGACCTCAATCCTATAGAACATTTGTGGGCAGAACTGAAAAAGTGTGTATGAGCAAGGAGGCCTATAAACCTGACTCAGTTACACCAGCTCTGTCAGGAGGAATAGGCCAAAAGTCACCCAACTTATTGTGGGAAGCTTGTGGAAGGCTACCCGAAACGTTTGACCCAAGTTAAACAATTTAAAGGCAATCGTACCAAATACTAATTGAGTGTATGTAAACTTCTGATCCACTGGGAATGTGATTAAGGAAATAAAAGCTTAAATAAATCATTCTCTCTACTATTATTCTGACATTTCACATTCTTAAATAAAGTGGTGATCCTAACTGACCTAAGATAGGGAATTTTTACTAGGATTAAATGTCAGGAATTGTGAAAAACTGAGTTTAAATGTATTTGGCTAAGGTGTATGTAAACTTCCGACTTCAACTGTATTAATTTATTTATTTATTACATGTACAAAAAAAAGAGATCTGGCCGCGGACCCCAGTTTGATAACTCCTGCCTTAAAGGATTACATTATATGTCTCTATGTTGTTTCTATTGATGCTGAAGTCATGCACCGTCTGTTATCTTACGCTCTCATTTAAATTTGTATTGCTTTAATTTGTCTAAGTTAACAAACAGAGTGTGGTGGTAGTGACAGCGGGGGGAATAGGAACGGTGGGAGGAACGGTGGGAAGGACGGAGGGAAGGTTAATTGTTTGTTAAGGGGATGTTTGGATGTTTAACATGCAGAGGAGAGGTGGCAGTCTTCAGGGGCGAGACACATGAGACACATGTTCAACTTCAGGCCCAATCTTATGTGTGTTCAGATAAAGTTGTTTTGTCTAGAGCAGACATGCTTCTCTGTCATGTGGAAAAAGGAATCATGTCCCCTCTATATACAGTTGCTCCCTCCTGAATGTGACCTGGCAACCCAGTGTTTGTGTTCCACAATGCAGATGAATGAAGATGTTCTCCTGCTGAGGTGTTGTTTTCTATGTGTTTGCCTGTGTTCTAATTAGAGGAAGTTCCACTGTGCCAACATGACATCATGGCCTCCCTGGGTCTACGCCCTCTATGACTCTGTGAGTACTGAACACCCTTATCGCTGTTCTATAGGTTAGTGTCTTAACCTCTCAGGGCTAGATATAACTACTGTGTGTGCACAGACAGAACATTGCCACTGTAACTTGAGTGAGCTGATTTATTCCATAATGCGTTTTAGAAAAATACTGTATGAGTTCAGTGACTGTTAAGACACACATCCTGTTTGTAACCTGGTTTCTTGTGTTTGTCCCCCAGGAGACTCTGATGAACAGAGTGAAGAGACAGCTCCATGAGTGGGACGAGAACCTCAAGGATGATTCCCTCCCCACAAACGCGATAGGTACAACTCCCTGGTCTACCCTATAGGCTACTGTATATTCCTGCCACCTAAAACCATAAAATCTTTAGGTACTTCTTCCAACCTCAAAGATAGCGAATCCTGAACTGTAACATTCCCGCTCCCCATCCCTCCTTCCTGTCAGATTTCTCCTACAGAGTGGCAGCCTGTTTGCCCATAGACGATGCCCTCCGGCTCCAGCTGCTGAAGATAGGCAGTGCCATCCAGAGGCTGCGCTGTGAGCTGGACATCATGGACCGGGTGAGCACACACAGACAGACACAGACATATGAACGCAGGCGCACCCACACAGAGCCATAAATACACATCACTAAACCTTACAATTTAAAGGCCAGGTACACTGCTCAATACATGAACCAGGCGAGGACACACAGAGCCTTATCCACACACTGTTTGATATGTAACCCTACACCCACCACGAATCCATCCAGCTGTACCCCAACTGATCTAATCTTACCCCTACTCCTCCCTGTTGTTCTGTGGCAGACTCCCCTGCCTCTCCCTCCCCTCTCTTCCCTCTCCGTTCTCTTTACTCTACTCTAATGCACTAGTTTTATATTTAGCCACTGCCTATATAGAGTGATGATCATTTCCCCTCTCTGAGGTGGTGGGTCGGAGATGCTGCCTTCTTTTGTGAGCTTTCCCAGGCATTGAGAGCTCTGCCAGTGTTAAAGCACCTCTTCTCTAATCCATCGCTCTGACTAGAGCTGGGACGATAAACCGAAAATTACAGATGCCGACATTGCCTTCCTCTTACCAAAGCATTTTGCTTACGTCGGTAATTTTCTGTGATTTTGCTGCTAAATGTTCTTGTTCTAAAACCATTATTTGGTCAACAGTAATTGCCTATGCATTATGTTGATTCCTGCTATAAAAGTATCTGACTGTCCCTGTTTCGCTGTCGGCTGCTGACTCTCTCACTCCCTCTCCCCACTGTGCGCACGGAGGCGGGAGAGATGCAGTCTGATAAGCACAAGTGTAATATGCTTGTGCTTATCCCGCAATTGCTCAAAATGCAATTGTTCTAGTTAAAGAGAGGAGAGTCAAAGCTTGCCTTCGGAAAGTATTCAGACCCATTGACTTTTTCCACATTTTGTTACGTTACAGCCTTATTCTAAAATTGATTAAATTGTTTTCCCCCTCATCAATCTACACACAATACCCCATAATGACAAAGCAAAAACCGGTTTTTAGAAATGTTTGCTAATTTATTACAAATAAAGGATATAAAACATTTACATAAATATTCAGACCCTTTACTCAGTACTTTGTTGAAGTACCTTTGGCAGCGATTACAACCTCGAGTCTTCTTGGGTATGGTACAAGCTTGGCACACCTGTATTTGGGGAGTTTCTCCCATTCTTCTCTGCATATCCTCTCAAGCTCTGTCAGGTTGGAAGGGGAGGGTCGCTGCACAGCTATTTTCAGGTCTCTCCAGAAATGTTCGATCGGGTTCAAGTACGGGCTCTGGCTGGGCCACTCAAGCATATTCAGAGACTTGTCCCGAAGCCACTCCTGTGTTGTCTTGGCTGTGTGCTTAGGGTTGTTGTCCTGTTGGAAGGTGAACCTTTGCCCCAGTCTGCGGTCCTGAGTGCTCTGGAGCAGGTTTTCATCAAGGATCTCTCTGTACTTTGCTCCGTTCATCTTTCCCTCGATCCTGACTAGTCTCCCATTCCCTGCCGCTGAAAAACATCCCCACAGCATGATGCTGCCACCACCATGCTTCACCGTAGGGATGGTATTGGCCAGGTGATGAGCGGTGCCTGGTTTCCTCCAGACGTGACGTTTGGCATTCAGGCCAAAGAGTCAATCTTGGTTTCATCAGACCAGAGAATGCTGTTTCTCATGGTCAGAGTCCTTTAGGTGCCTTTTGGCAAACTCCAAGCGGGCTGTCATGTGCCTTTTACTGAGGAGTGGCTTCCGTCTGGCCACTCTACCATAAAGGCCTGATTGGTGGAGTGCTGCAGAGATGGTTGTCCTTCTAGAAGGTTCTCCCATTTCCACAGAGGAACTCTGGAGCGCTGTCAGAGTGACCATCGGGTTCTTGGTCACTTCCCTGACCAAGGCCCTTCTCCCACAATTGCTCAGTTTGGCCGGGCGGCCAGCTCTAGGAAGTGTCTTGGTGGTTCCAAACTTCTTCCATTTAAGAATGATGGAGGCCACTGTGTTCTTGGGGACCTTCAATGCTGCAGAATGTTTTTGGTACCCTTCCCCAGATCTGTGCCTCGACACAATCCTGTCTCTGAGCTCTACGGACAATTCCTTTGACCTCATGGCTTGGTTTTTGCTGTGACATGTACTGTCAACTGTGGGACCTTATATAGACAGGTGTGTGCCTTTCCAAATAATGTCCAATCAATGGAATTTACCACAGGTGGACTCCAATCAAGTTGTAGAAACATCTCAAGGATGATCAATGGAAACAGGATGCACCTGAGTTCAATTTCGAGTGTCATAGAAAAGGTTCTGAATACTTATGTAAACAAGCTAAACACCTGTTTTCGCTTTGTCATTATGGGGTATTGTGTGTAGATTGAAGGAAAACATAATTTAATCAATTTTGTGAATAAGGCTGTAAGGTAACAAAATGTGAAAAAAGTGAAGGGGTCTGAATACTTTCCAAATGCACTGTATGAGTGACTATCCAACACACCACCTGGTGTTATGTTGGGCACCTACTGACCCTAAAAATTCCTCAATGACATGTATTGCTAAATAAAAAGGTTTAAGGAAGTACCAAGCAGGCACCACATTAATACAAGACAAAACAGCTTGCTCAATCAAGCATGATGGTCTTGTAAGTATAAAAGGAAAGCTTGTTTAATATAATTATTTTAAAGGTGAAAAGGTAGTGTAATGGGATTAGTGTGGTGTGTAAAGAATCCAATACTTGACCTTGTATGCGGTACAAATCACATTATTGTGGAAGCACCTCCTCTAAGAGTATGAATTAGGCTGTTTTGAGAAGGTTTGAATCCTAAGCAACCTGCCTACACATTGTTTGAAATACAATAGACCAACATAGCTACTGTAGTAGGTTAAAGCTGTGTGCTGGAAAACCTTGGTAGAGCATGGGTGGAGTAGGCATTGTGGTGCTCATGTGGATTTTCTTTTTCTGCATCAGACCAATGCCTACTTCTCACTTAAAACAAAAAGTGTTGTTTTTAATAAACAAGGATTCGGAGCACACAAAGACATACTCTCCCAGTTGTTGGACTCGCTTATGATTTCAGCAAGATCATAGAAATGGAATTAGAATGGTATAAGATTAGAACAGTAATCTCTTTGGGCAAGACCATTAAGAGGTGATAGATGTGTTTGTCAGTATGGCTAGATCAATATGTGAGGTAATTCTCTAGCTCCAACTTTCTGATTTTAAGATATGTACTCCCCTGCTTTTGCCTGGAGAATGAGGGTTACACGCACCCCTAGCGAGGTGGCCAATTACAGGCTGTTACATAACCTCCTAGCACAGGCAATAACAACAGTGATGTTTGCTACTGCTACAGAAGTTGGATTGAACATGAAGTCATATATGTTGCGTTTTCTCCCACAGTGCACCTCGCTGTGTTGCAAGCAGTGCCAAGATACGGAGATCACCACCAAGAACGAGATCTTCAGGTGAGGGAGAGGAGATGAGGGAGAGATGCATCTAGACTGTCCCAATAGTGTGTGTGTGTGTGTGTGTGTGTGTGTGTGTGTGTCTGTAGAGTAGTCTAACACTGGTTGTCAGTGAGTCAGAATGAGCTGGTATTGTGTGTGGGCATTGGGATTGCATGTGTCTACTTTGCTCCCTCCACCTCCCTCTGTCAGTCTCAGTGGGGGGTGTGGTCTGTTGACTGAGGTAGTCGCTTTAGATGAGACGAGCCTTTGATTGCAGACAAGTCCATGGCACCACTACCAGAGCTACTCTCCCCCGTTCCTCCACCCGACCCCTCTCCCCTCCACTCTCTACTCCTCTCCCATTCCCCTCTCACCATCCACCCCCCTCCCCTCCACCCCTCTCCCCCTACCCTTCTGCCCTCCACCCTCCCTGTCCTCTTGTCACTTGACCCCCCTGGGGCAGCCAGTCTTCTTGTCACCTGGGGCAGGACAGGGCAGCTAATGACTAGAAATTAATTAGCTGACCTTTAGTTCCATTTTGGACACGACTGTTTGGCATTTGGTTAACCTCCCACACACACACACACACTTTTAAACGCATGATCTTCTAGCGTCGCTAACAAGTCGATGCATCCACTCATCACATAAGCAGCATTTCTCTGAGGCCACTCGGTGCTTCCTGCCTACACCAACCAGACACACAGACTGACACTGACCGGATGACAGTAGGAGTAGTGAATAATCTCATGTTGGCATATATTCCATTCATGAGACCTAAAACAAAAAAAACTAGTGACAGGAGGCGAGGCTAGTACACTACAACAATGTAGCAGCAGTCTTGGTCTCAGTAATGAATGGAAAGATGCGCTGACTGAAACATTTAAACAGGACAAATATTTAGATATTGAATGTTGACTGTGTGTAATATTTAAAAAGGTCATAAAGTTTGGATTAAACAGACTCTCAACATAACATCCATTTAGTGGGTTTCCAGAACCTGAGGGGCAGGCTGTCTTGATGGTAATGGACCAGCTGCCATGGCCATTGGGCTTTTTAGCAGAAGTTGAGAACCGTTCATGTGTGTTAGCAATTGTAAATAATTTGCTTAATGCTGCAATATGTAACTTTTTGGGCTACCTGACCAAATTCAAATAGAAATGTGTGGTATAGATCTGTCATTCCCATTGAAAGCAACTCTAAGAAGCGGTAGATCTGTTCTATGTGCACTATTTCTATGCTTTCCGTGCTTAACATGCTGACTACACCGGGCACATGTGCGCCCGTGCACGCCATCGCACGCATGTTGATTTTGTCCATCCACACCAGACACGATCAGGACACGCAGGTTGAAATATCAAAACGAACTCTGAACCAACTATATTAATTTTGGGACAGGTCGAAACACATATGAAACGTTCATGGACATTTAGCTAGCTAGCTTGATGTTGCTAGCTAAATTGTCCTGGGATATAAACATTGGGTTGTTATTTTCCCTGAAATGTACAAGGTCAATTTTTTTTTGCTGGATCTTTGTAGAATTTGGACTCATTTTGAGTCACACACAATCGTGTGTTCTCTACGCCGACAATTAATCCACAGATAAAAGGGGAAACCTAGTTAGTTTTTCGTAATCTCTCCTCGTTCAGTCTTCTTTTCTTTTTCTGTGGATTTTATATGGCGGTTGGCAACCAACTTTAAGGTGCATTACCACCACCAACTGGACTGGAGTGTGGACCTCGTTCATCTTTCAATCACCGGGTATATGCTCCTAAAAACCAATGAGGAGATGGGAGAGGCAGGACTTGCAGCACGTCAAGCCAAGTTCTATTTTAGCGCCTGGCTACGCAGACGCTCGTTTACGTGCTCTAGCAGTTTGGATGAAATGATTGAATAACATTTATGTGTACATTTATTTTGCAACTCTCACGCATGCAACACGGGTGGTGTGGTCAGCATGTAAGTTTCATTTTTGCGTCTTCTACTTTGTTTTGTACACCAGCTTCAAACAGCTGAAAATACAATATTATTCGTTATGGAAAATATATTTCACAGCAGTTTAGATGGTACAATGATTCTCTAAACTATATTTGCTTGTTTTGTCACATAAACTGAAATTAAGCTAACTGTTAGAATTTCTGCATCCAAGAAATGGCGGGGCGATATCTGCATAGTGCATCTTTAAAGACCCATTAAATTGAATAATAACTATAATCTGTAAATCCTCAAATGGTTTGGAGTTTATCATCAGTGTCCCTGAACACTCAGTACTTTATCTATGGGGTCATCAGAGTGGTATGGATACACTGTTAGTGTGTGTGTGTTTGAGATATTGAGTGTTCCAAAACGCAGGCAACCAAAAGCAGTTTTCTCCAGACCTGTGTTCTGTTCTGTGCAGCCCTGCTAGTGAACAGGCAGATCTACATAAACTCAGCAAAAAAATATACGTCCTCACTGTCAACTGCGTTTATTTTCAGCAAACTTAACGTGTAAATATTTGTATGAACAAAATATGATTCAACAACTGAGACATAAACTGAACAAGTTCCACAGACATGACTAACAGAAATTGAATAATGTGTCCCTAAACAAAGGGGGGTCAAAATCAAAAGTAACAGTCAGTATCTGGTGTGGCCACCAGCTGCATTAAGTACTGCAGTGCATCTCCTCCTCATGGACTGCACCAGATTTGCCAGTTCTTGCTGTGAGATGTTACCCCACTCTTCCACCAAGGCACCTGCAAGTTCCCGGACACTTCTGGGGGGAATGGCCCTAGCCCTCACCCTCCGATCCAACAGGTCCCAGACGTGCTCAATGGGATTGAGTTCCGGACTCTTCGCTGGCCATGGCAGAACACTGACATTCCTGTCTTGCAGGAAATCACGCACAGAACAAGCAGTATGGCTGGTGGCATTGTCACCGGAGACACTTGAAACCCCACCTCTTTAAGGAATACCTGGGATAGGATAAAGTAATCCTTCTACCCCCCCCCCTTACCCCACCCCCCAAAATTTTTTTAATTAAATAATATTCTTAAGTGGTTGTCCCACTGCGTATCATAAGGTGAATGCACCAATCTGTAAGTCGCTCTGTATAAGAGCGTCTGCTAAATGCTGGGGGTCATGTCAGGATGAGCCTGCAGGAAGGTACCACATGAGGGAGGAGGATGTCTTCCCTGTAACGCACAGCGTTGAGATTGCCAGCAATGACAACAAGCTCAGTCCGATAATGCTGTGACACACCGCCCCAGACAATGACAGACCCTCCACCTCCAAATCGATCCCACAACAGAGTACAGGCCTCGGTGTAACGCTCATTCCTTCGACGATAAACGCGAATCCGACCATCACCCCTGGTGAGACAAAACCGCGACTCGTCAGTGAAGAGCACTTTTTGTCAGTCCTGTCTGGTCCAGCGACGGTGGGTTTGTGCCCATAGGCGATGTTGTTGCCGGTGATGTCTGGTGAGGACCTGCCTTACAACAGGCCTACAAGCCCTCAGTCCAGCCTCTCTCAGCCTATTGCGGACAGTCCGAGCACTGATGGAGGGATTGTGCGTTCCTGGTGTAACTCGGGCAGTTGTTGTTGCAATCCTGTACCTGTCCCGCAGGTGTGATGTTCGGATGTACTGATCCTGTGCAGGTGTTGTTACATGTGGTCTGCCACTGCGAGGACGATCAGCTGTCCGTCCTGTCTCCCTGTAGCGCTGTTTTAGGTGTCTCACAGTACGGACATTGCAATTTATTGGCCACATCTGCAGTCCTCATGCCTCCTTGCAGCATGCCTAAGGCACGTTCACGCAGATGAGCAGGGACCCTGGGCATCTTTCATTTTGTGTTTTTCAGAGTCAGTAGAAAGGCCTCTTTAGTGTCCTAAGTTTTCATAACTGTGACCTTAATTGCCTACTGTTTGTAAGCTGTTAGTGCACCGTTCCACAGGTGCATGTTCATTAATTGTTTATGGTTAATTGAACAAGCATGGGAAACAGTGTTTAAACCCTTTACAATGAAGATCTGTGAAGTTATTTGGATTTTTACAAATTATTATTATTAGTTAATTTTTTAGCTGAGTTTAGCTGATGACTAATGATCTGTTTAATAAAGTACGCGTTTCAAACACACTAGATTAATGAAGCTGCAGGTGCATGTGTACTCCTGCTCAAATTAGAGCGAGTAAGGAAGGGTTAAGCAACTTGGTGTCTCTTGTTTGACATTCATCTAGTTAAGTTTCATAACCATCTCTCTGGCTACTGTCCCAGTCTGTCTGTCTATACTGTCTGATTCAACCTTACTCCAACCTTAGTCCCCTCGCCTGGGTCATTGTAGTATGTTGGTGTAATTCTAGAATATTTGTATACTTTTAGAATATTTGTAGTTTTAGTCTATTCGTATACTTTAATATTTGCATGTCATTTGTACACTCAATTCAGCCGTTTTTTGTACAATGTGGTTCAGATAATAAAAACATTCTCTACCCTGGTCTCCTCACTCACTTTCTCTCCCTCTCCCCATCCCCTCTCCCCCCTCACACTCCTCCAGCTTGTCTCTGTATGGCCCCATGGCAGCCTATGTCAACCCCCACGGTTACGTCCATGAGACCCTGACCGTCTACAAAGCCAGCAACCTCAACCTGGTCGGCAGGCCGTCTGTGCTCCACAGCTGGTTTCCAGGGTAACCCCTCTCTATACATGCCTAACACATATACAGTACCAGTCAAAAGTTTGGACACACCTACTCATTCAAGGGTTTTTCTTTATTTTTGCTATTTTCTACATTGTAGAATAATAGTAAAGACATCAAAACTATGAAATAACACATATGGAATCATGTAGTAACCAAAAAAGTGTTAAACAAATCGAAATATATTTTATTTTAGAGATTCTTCAAATAGCCATCCTTTGCCTTGATGACAGCTTTGCACACTCTTGGCATTCTCTCAACTATCTTCATGAGGAATGCTTTTCCAACAGTCTTGAAGGAGTTCCTACATATGCTGAGCACTTGTTAGCTGCTTTTTCCTTCACTCTACGGTCCAACTCATCCCAAACCATCTCAATTGGGTTGAGGTCGGGTGATTGTGGAGGCCAGGTCATCTGATGCAGCCCTCCATCACTCTCCTTCTTGGTCAAATAGCCCTTACACAGCCGTGAGGTGTGTTGGGTCATTGTCCTGTTGAAAAACAAATGATAGTCCCACTAAGCGCAAACCAGATAGGATGGCGTATCGCTGCAGAATGCTGTGGTAGCCATGCTGGTTAAGTGTGCCTTGAATTCTAAATAAATCACAGACAGTGTCACCAGCAAAGCACCCCTACATCATCACACCTCCTCCTCCATGCTTCTTGGTGGGAACCACACATGCAGAGATCATCTGTTCACCTACCCTGCGTCTCACAAAGACATGGCGGTTGGAACCAAAAATCTCAAATTTGGACTCATCAGACCAAAGGACAGATTTCCACTGGTCTAATGTCCATTGCTCGTGTTTCTTGGCCCAAGCAAGTCTCTTCTTATTATTGGTGTCCTTTAGTAGTGGTTTCTTTGCAGCAATTCGACCATGGCCCGATTCATGCAGTCTCCTCTGAACAGTTGATGTTGATGTGTCTACTACTTGAACTCTGTGAAGCATTTATTTGCGCTGCAGTCTCAGGTGCATTTAACTCTAATGAACTTATCCTTTGCAGCAGAGGTAATTCTCGGTCTTCCTTTCCTGTGGCGGTCCTCATGAGAGCCAGTTTCATCATAGCGCTTGATGGTTTTTGCGACTGCACTTGAAGAAACTTTCAAAGTTCTTGAAATGTTCCGGATTGACTGACCTTCATGTCTTAAAGTAATGATGGACTGTTGTTTCTCTTTGCTTATTTGAGCTGTTCTTGCCATAATATGGACTTGGTCTTTTACCAAATAGGGCTATCTTCTGTACCCCCCCCCCCCCCCCACCTTGGATCAACACAACTGATTGGCTCAAACGCATTAAGAAGGAAATAAATTCCACAAATTAACTTTTAAGAAGGCACACCTGTTAATTGAAATGCATTCCAGGTGACTACCTCATGAAGCTGGTTGAGAGAATGCCAAGAGTGTGCAAAGCTGTCATCAAGGCAAAGGGGGGCTACTTTGACGAATCTCAAATATAAAATATATTTTTATTTGTTTAACACTTTTTTGGTTATTACATGATTCCATATGTGTTATTTCATAGTTTTGATGTCTTCACTATTATTCTACAATGTAGAAAATAGTAAAAATAAAGAAAAACCCTTGAATTAGTAGGTGTGTCCAAACTTTTGACTGGTACTGTACATTCCCTCGCTCTCACACATTTAGATATACACCAACCCATTCCCCACACTATACAAACTCACCCCACAGCCTTACACTCACAAATTACATTCTCAAGTGACAGACACATGTACAGTATACACACTGACAGATGTAAACATACATTGCACTATTGAAATGTACTGTACTTTTGAGGTGTTCATAATAATGTAATAAATTATTCATAATATTAATCATTTAAGAAAATAATATAATAAATTATTATTAGCACCTGTCACGTTACCCAGGTTGTGTGATCTTGGACACATTAATAACATTTTTGGTCCATGAATAATTTAAGCTGCCAAAGACCTGAAAGCAAAAGGCTCTGGCCTTTTGGTGTACTGTCATTTTTTGCATCGTTTGTCATTTTTGGCATCATGTTGTCAATATGAGGTGCCTTGTATTCATTGAGCTTTATTTAAAACCAACTTCGTCTCAGTGGGGATATACACATACTGTGTGTGTGTGCACGCAACACCAGGCTTGCTTGACCATATTGACATAGAGCCGGAACTTTTGGAGAGCAGTGGAGAGCTCCCCTGGGTTCTCAGTGGTTCTGTTACGTAAGGCATCTTCAACCAAAGCCACTCATCAGTCCTCAGCGCTCCTCATCACTCCTGTGTTAGCCTCCTGTAATAATGACAGTAATAGCTTCCTCCACTTATCCTCCCCATGGGCTGGCACTTGTCAAGATTAGTCTTATTCAAGTCCTCTCAGAGGGGAGCTATGGAGGTAGAGGAGGAAGGAAGAAAGGTATTGTGCTCCTTGTGCTCCACTCAACCGCTCTGTGCCGCACTGCTCTTCTGGTCTGGTGAAGGGTGCTATTACAGCCTGTCAGCATAAGTTGTTCTGAGAAGACATGTTGTGGAGAGAGCAACAGACACACAGCATGACAGATTTAGGCTGTTTACTGCCATTTTCATCTGTTGATTGAAAGTGCTTCTGTGTGATACTTGTCATGCAGCCACTTCAAATGGTAGGTTGTTGCCAGGAAGAGAACCCTGGGAAACGTCTTAATTGAACAGGTGTCAGATAGGAGAGAAAAGGTAAGTGGAGTGGTTTGTCTGTGTGCCTTCCTTCCTTTGCCTGGCCCGCCACCATTCCCACGTGACAGCCAGATAGGGTTTTGGTTTGCGGAGAAAATGGAGAGGGGATGAGAGAGGGGATTGTATTGATTAGACACAGTCTGTGTTCTTTCTCTATGTAATGTCTGCGCATGAGAGCCTCAGAAAGCCCCAGGCCTCTATTCGCAATGCTGTCTGGTATGCCATAATACTGTATGATGAGGGGAATTGGAAGACAGCCAACTAGGGTATTAGTTTCTGTGTCAGATGCCTTATGTCAACAATAAGAAGTGTGGCATGCTGCACAAATCTCTCCCCCCCCCCCCCAGGTATGCCTGGACGATCGCTCAGTGTCAGACATGTGGCTCCCACATGGGCTGGAAGTTCACGGCCACCAAGAAGGATTTGTCCCCGCCTCGTTTCTGGGGCCTGACCCGCTCAGCCATGCTGCCCCGCATTCCCCAGATGGAGGGCCAGGAGGGGGACGAGGGCTCCCGCCTGCTCTGCCTGTGACAACATGAGGACCTCCCCTCCACCCACGTCCCCAACGGGCCTTCGATCGACACACCCTGTCCACTGGCCGAGGGCCTCTCCTTAGTACTCGATGTGTCCCACCCAACCCCCGAGAGCCATGGCAGCAAATCCCTCATAGAAGGTCATCCTGCCTTTAAATGCTACTTTCTAACACACACAGAGAGAGGAGGAGGAGGATGGAGAGGGGTTATGTTCCTGAGTGCAGTGACACTGTAGATGGAATGCGTTGCATATCGAAAGATCGATGTGGAGAATGGAGCAAGAGATTTATTCTTGACACACGGGCAAATCTTCCACATAGCATGCTACTCTGGACCTGTCTGTACTGATGTCTGTACTGCTGTCTCTATCTAGCTCTTATACTATCTGTCACAGACACGGCACACACTAGTGCATTGCCATACTATCCACCTGCTCTAAAACATAGGTGTGACTTTGCATGCAGTATACAGCTAGGTGTGTACAGGGTTATAGACGCCCATCAAGAGGACCTTTGGTCCCCATAATCTCTAAACAAAACAATCAATAGAAAGCCACTTGGGATTCAGGTCCACAGTTAGTTGTTGATGTGTTTCTCAGAGAACCTAATTTAGCTGGATCGGTTCATGGAGAGATAGACCATGTAAAATCCAGAATTAAAGGGTGTTTGTATATGTGAAAGGATGTATCATGCCTTTGTTTCATGTGCAAGATGTTTTGATCAGTCGGTCAAGTGTAAAACAGCCTATATTTTCACATGAAAGGAATGCATAGGAATGGAGGAATCTGAACAAGAAGAATAGGGGAGCTGTTGCTTTATTTTGCCTCATATTTTCACATTGTCTAAAAACGTATATGTAATATACATGTAGAGATACTGGTTTCTATTTTGTAACTGATGGATGCCCATTGAACTGCAAGACACTGTGCCTGTGAAGACTAGAGTTGGCTTGGTGCTGGGTGTAATATAGACTTGAGGAAAGCAGGGCAGAAGGCAGTGGAGCCAGAGATATCAGAATCTGTCAGTCGCCATGGTTCTATGTGTGATGTGGATGGCTGGATGGAGTGCCTATGGTCCAATTCAATGTCTTGTTTGTTTGTTATATCAGTGAGCCACACAATTAAATGGGACATTGTATTAATGAAACTGTCTTTGTTGAAAATTGCAATATCATATCGCGAGTTACCTGAATAGCAATATTTTTGTTTTAGATCCATGTATTTGTTTTAAGTTAAGAATTGTATTCCCTGCCAATGTACAAGGTTATTTTGGCTCATGTTTGTAAAAAATGGTATCGTAAGTAACCAATAAGAGTCAATTATTGCATTTCTGGTCTGATATAACTGATGTAGAACCTCAACACTCTTGCCCCTCCCATAGCCATGTATTTCCATTTTATAACAATGTAAAACAGGATTGATTTGTTCAGCTCAATTATCACCAATTGAGCAAAGTAATTTTACGCAATAAGAAATGTTCTACAATACGATTAAGATTGTCTTTTTTCATGATTGTTATCATTTTTTTGTGTGGTATCCCAGTTGGTAAAACTTAAGATGAGACCATTGAAGAAGAACCTTGGAGTGGAAATAGAAAACAAGTAGAAAAGGATGGCTTGGTACATTTTTTATAAACTGTGATCTACTATGTGAAACAGTACTACAGTCAGATCACACCATCAGCATATAATCCATGATCTTTTCTCTGAACAGGAATGGTATGTGATCTCTATTATTGCATCAAAACTAATCTTGGTTAACCTACAACTTAAATATAGCATAATTTGGTCAGATGTTTACGTAGTCTGTACACAAAAGATTACATCAATTTAAGCTTTGTAATCCACTTGCTGCAAGAAGTGGTGTTGGAGGACCGGTAGGGGTCTCTCTTTAGGGCTGTCCAATTCCGGTCCTGGAGGGCCGAACATTTCAGGATTTTATCCTCTCCTCCTAATCAGGGACTAATTCAAACCTGGGACACCGGGTGAGTGCAATTAACTACCAGGTAGAAACAAAAAACAGAAGTGTTTCGGCCCTCCAGGACCGGAATTGGGCAGCCCTGTGTGTAGTCTGACACACTAATGCCCCTGAATGTTTTCAGTGTTCTACTGTAGCTCAAATGAACATAAGGAGCTGAAATCCACAGCTTACTTGTTTGTACTTTGGCATGTGTGGAGGTGCACCTGTTCCTGCAGTTCATCTCAGCAGAATCAGCAGGGCTTTTAGAAGCCAGTAGACACTTCTCACTTCACTGTTCCAACCAAAAAAAGAACACCAGGCATACTCCTCAGACAGAAAAAAAAAACTGCTATAGAGATGCAGCATGTATGAAAAATCGATTTAGACAGAATGGGGTAAAAGTGAAAAATAGTGAGAATGGAAAGAAGGTGGGAAGAGAAGAGGTGACCGGATTCTGGGTTGACCCACTCTGTACCGAGTATCCATATGTCATTTCCAGTAATTTGTGAGTGGACTTGACGTGTGTGTGTGTCTGTGCTGTGTGTGTTGTAGGTATACAGGTACACGTGCAATGCTGTGTGCTGGCTTGGTCAGTGCTTTCCTAGTAGCCTCCTGTCGCTGTCTCATATGCTGGCCCAGCGAGGGGCTAACCAGAGAGAGTGGATACTGGGTGGGTGACTGGCCTCTGGGGGACATATTTAAAGTACTCTTTTTGGGGGGGTTCTGTACTTTACTATTTATATTTTTGACAACTTTTACTTCACTACATTCCTAAAGAAGATAATGTACTTTTTACGCCATACTTTTTCCCTGACACCCAAAAGTACTCGTTTTGAATGCTTAGCAGGACAGGAAAATTGCCCAATTCACACACTTTTGAAGAGAACATCCCTGGTCATCCCTACTGTCTCTGATCTGGTGGACTCACTAAACACATGCTTCATTTGTAAATTATGTCTGAGTGTTGGAGTGTGCCCCTGGCTATGTGTAAATTAAAATAACAAGAACATTGATGCTGTCTGGTTTGCTTAATATAAGGAATTTGAAATGATTTATACTTTTACTTTTGATACTTAAGTATATTTTACTAATTACATTGACCTTTAATGCAAATACTTTTTGACTTTTACTCAAGTAGTATTTTACTGGGTGACTTTCACTTTTACTTGAGTGATTTTCTATTAAGGTGTCTTTACTTTTACTCAAATATGACAATTGGGTACTTTGTCCACAACTGTCTGCTACTGTAACAGCCCTAGTGCCTGGCTTGTGTCTCTTTAGTCTTCCTGGCTGTGATCCTGGTCTCTGGGCTGCTCGGGTCTATCGTAGCGGTTAGCCAACTACTCTCTTTTTATTCCATCGGCATGGCCATAATGAATGTAATCCAAGATACACTACATTACCAAAAGTATGTGGACACCTGCTCGTCAAACATCATTCCAAAATCATGGCATTAATATGGAGTTGGTCCCCCCTTTGCTGCTATAACAGCCTCCGCTCTTTTGTGAAGGCTTTCCACTAGATGTTGGAACATTGCTGTGGGGACTTGCTTCCATTCAGCCACAAGAGCATTAGCGAGGTTGGGCACTGATGTTGGACGATTAGGCCTGGCTCGCAGTCAGCGTTCCAATTGACTCTGTACCGGTACCCCCTGTATATAGCCTCCCTACTGTTATTTTATTTTACTGCTGCTCTTTAATTATTTTTTACTTATCTATTTTTTACTTAATTTCTTACAAAAACTGCATTGTTGGTTAAGGGCTTGTAAGTAAGCATTTCACTGTAATGTCTACACCTGTTGTATTCAGCGCATGTGGCAAATCGAATCAAATTTGATTTGATTTGAATTCATCCCAAAGGTGTTTGATGGGGTTGAGGTCAGGGCTATGTGCAGGCCAGTCAAGTTCTTCCACACCGATCTCGACAAACCATTTCTGTATGGACCTCGCTTTGTGCATGGGGGCATTGTCATGCTGAAACAGGAAAGGGCCTTCCCCAAACTGTTGCCACAAAGTTGGAAGCACAGAATCGTCTAGAATGTCATTGTCTGCTGTAGCGTTAAGATTTCCCTTCACTGGAACTAAGGGGCCTAGCCCAAACCATGAATCCTCATCCACCAAACTGCACAGGTAAGGTTGTCAAAGAAAGAACAAGTAATTGTCAAATAACGATTGTAAGGAACGGTTTTAAAAGCATGTGATTACACTGTATCTGAACACTATGTGTTCACCTCAGACGGACCTCTCTCGTTGTGAGTGTCCTGTGTTATTCTCCACATGTGTACCAGTCCATGTGAGCATGTGTCTGCTTAACCTCAGGGGGAATGAATAATAACCATATTTATTTAACTTTTATTTTATCAGGGAGTCAAACTGAGGCCAAGGTCTATTTTACAGATGAGCCCTGAATTACAGAAATTACAGAAAATACACACATCAATATAAATACAAAATGCAAGCAGAAAGAAAAAAACGATCATAAAAAACAAACACATTAATCAGTAAAAGGTCCTCAATCAGCTTTCTGAATTGTCCTAGAGGCACCAAAACATCGCATTTAAGAACATTTTGAAGATTTTTCACAAATAAGGTGTAAGAAAACTAAAAGCTGATTTACCTGACTCAGTAGTGACCAAAGGAATTTCCAGAGTTAGCCATCCCTGAGACTTGAGTGTGTTAACTCATATGTCTAAAGTTTAGTAAAGATGTTAGGTACAGTGGGACTTTTTGTAAAAGGGCTTTATAAATGAAAACATAGGAATGTATCAATCTACGTTACATCAAAAAAGGCCAACCAACTTTCTGGTAGAGAATGCAGTGATGAGTACTAAAACTGTTGCCCGTAATAAAGCGCAGTGCGCTATGATAAACTGCATCTAACGGCTTTAATGAAGTCACGGCTGCCTTCATATAGATTATGCCGCCATAGTCTAGGATCGATAGGAATGTCGACTGAATAATCTGCTTTCTACTATATTTCTATAGAAGAAGCCCATTGTTATTCTCAGCTTCTTTACTAACTCATCAATATGATTTCCAAAA